GAAGGAAAAAGAGAGGGAGAAAAATATCCACGTGCAGCTGCCTCTTGAACACGCCCCCCTGGGGGCCTGGCCTGCAACCCAGGCCTTTGCCCTGATGGGGAATCGACCCAGCAGCTCTTTGGTTCGCAGGCCCGTGCTCAGTGCACTGGTGTATACTGAGCTACGTCAGCCAGGGCTCAATATACTTTTATTATTCTGCTGCCTTCCCTAAGGAATTTACCCTCCCTGCCCTCCCGTTTTTACTTTTTTTGATGGATCCTTAGCAACACAAAAATTTTTAATTTTGATGACGTCCAGTTTACTTATTTTTGTTGATGTTGTTGTTCTTTGTGCTTTTAGAATTGTCTTTGAGAAGCCTTTGCCTAACTCAAGGTCAGGAAGACTTATTCCTGTGTTCGCTCCTAAGAGTTAACCAGGGACCCGGCCCCCAACACAGGCGCGAGCGGTGACCGGGGATCCAACCGGCAGCCTTTCCGTTTGCCGGACGCGCCGAACCCACCAAACCCCACCAGTCAGGCCTCTCCTAGGAGTGTTATGGGTTTTAGCGCTTACAGTTGGGTTATGATCCATTTCGAACTGTTTCTTGAGTTATTAACACTTCGAATAACAGGATCTGGCAGCGGGCCTAGCACCTCCCGTGATTTTGGAGACAAGGGTGTTCGCCGTCCCGAGGTCCCTCTAACTGTGATGTGATGAGACGGTCTCATGACTTCTCTGTGGGACGTAGGTAGTGGCAGCTCTTGCTACTACCGCCTGCACTCACAATGAAAGAAAATGCTGCATTTCAGTTAGAGATTCGTTTACATAAAGCTGTATGTAAAGGTTCACCAGGTTCCCAGGTTCGAGGTCCCTTGGAATTCTAACCCCGACTTCAGGCTAAGAACTCCTGCGGTGGCCAAAATCCCTGCCCCAGGCCTCTGTTTCTGACCTGTGTTTTGGCGGCTTGAACCTTCCAAGACTGGCTTCAGGGTTGTCCTCCCGGCACCCGCAGCCCAGCCTGGTCCCCTCTGCCTGGCTCCAGCCATGGGGGAAGCCATTCTTTGCCTAGAATTTTCTAAGAAGCCATCTAACTAGAGTAACATTAAAACTAAAGCATAGCAGCAGTAGCACAGTAAACACTGCACGTCCAGTCAGGGCATTGGCGCTCATCTCCCTCCGTGCCCTCCCAGCCTCCGAGGTCTCCCGGGAGCAGACCTCCTGGCCTCCTGTGGCTGAAACCTGCTGCCTCTTCCGCGCGCCAGCTGCCCGGCTTAGGCAGATGACTTCTCTAGCAGCCTCAGTTTCCTTTATCCAAGGCTGGGTGAGCCAGCCAGAACCAGGTCAATGCCTAATAATGCACCAGGTCAATGTCTAATAATTTGCATCTTTCTGTATTCTCGGAGTTGTAACAGAAACTCAAATGGCTCAATTTAAAAGGCCAGGAATCGAGGCCTGGTTTATGGGGTGGGTGCATTGGGGAGGGAGAGTACAAAGATCCTATCAGGACTCAACCCGCCTCTCTCCACAGACTGGCAGGCGAGGCTGGGCTCCCTGGAGCAGGGCCCAGACTGGGGTGGGCCGGCGAGGCCCGGCGCTCAGGTGCTCACACAGCCTGCCGGAGCCAGAGCGCAGGCACCTCCTCCGGTGCCCAGCACCTGGCCCTGCCCAGGAGGCTCCAGGTTTCTCTAGTCCTTAGGTCCTGAGAAGCCCTTCCTTGAAAGCTCCAGAAAAAGTTCCTGAAAGGGCCCTGATTGGTCTGGCTAGGTCATGTGCCCACACCTGAGCCAATCGCTGCAGCCAGTGGGCCGGGTGCTCTGATTGGCCAGGCCTGGGGCATGTGCTGGTTGGGTTGCGATGGGAAGCCTCAAGCTAACCGCCTGGAATAGGTTGTTGAGGAGGGGCTACCTCTGGGGAGATGCTGGACTGGCAACCCCAAATCCCCATCGTGGGGGCAGATTTTATGTCTTGGTTAGACTTCCCTTATTCCAGGAAGCCACCCCGCACTGGGAATGGCTTCTGCTCTGTGCATCCACAGCAGCCTGGATTCCCTGTCGTTCACTTCTCCATGAATACTTTACATGCGCCAGGCACAGAGCAGTGGGTCCAGGAGGAGCCCCAACAATCACAGGTTGGAAGGAGGGGGCTAAGGGGCAGTGCTTTGTGAGGTAGGAGAACGAGGTCCGAGAAGTGAGGGAGTTTCTGCGAGTGGTGGACTCAGGTGAAACCAAGAAATGACCGCTGGGATCGGGCAGCGGGGAGGTTGTGAGTGACAACTTCCCCGCTGCAAGAGCGGAGAATGGGGACACAGCCCTGCTGGGGCGGGGCGAGGAGAGGCTGGGAAGGTAGGGGGTGGAGAAGACAGATATAGACCCATCTTTGCTGTCTTCTGTCGGGGCAGTAGAGAAATGGGGAGGGGGCAGAAGGGCATTTAGGAACATGGGAGAATTTCCCCTCCCCCCTTCTTGAAAATGCCGACCATGGGGACAGGGGCTGATGGCACGGGAGAGCATAAGGGGCTGCCAGCCGCAGCAGAAGGGTGCCTGCGGACTGGAAGGTACAGGGATCCTATCTGATGGCTTCAGTATTTCACACTGAAAAGGGAGGTGAGGCCCGGGGCTGGGAGTGAGGGCAGAAAGGGCTGTGGGAGGTGTAGGGAGGGGAGAGGTGTGACATTTTAGTCCCAGAGAGTGTCACCAAAAAGCAGGGTAGAGCTGCTGACTCTATAGAGTGCCAGTTTGAAGTCTGAGATCACAAATTCCCACTCAGAAGTGGGGTGTGTGGAAGCCCCCACCCCGAGCCATAGCAGGAGCAGGAAGTGGGGCTCTCCTTCAGGTTGGACGGCTTCCTGTGGTGGACGGCAAGAGGAGGTGGGACGATGAACTCTAAACATTGCCCGGACCAGGAGGTACATACTATCACCTGTTTTACTGATGAGGAAGCTGAGAGGTTCAAGGCCAATGCATGTGGCCCTGGGGTCCGACAAACTAGTGCAGGGCCTGATACATGTTAGGTGTTAATATTTGCTGAGAAACGTGAATAGTTGGAACGCCTGGTGGTGCACCCACAAGTCTGATCCAGACAGGAAGCAGCCCCAGCTTTGGAGGAGGTGGGTGGCTCTGATGACTGCGCGCTGTGCCATGCCTGCTGCCCTAATACATGACTCAATGTTACCTTTGTGTTCTTACAGGCTAATCTTTCCAGTGCCTAGTGGTAGAACTTCATAGACACCTAGCGAGCAGCTCATCCTGCTCTTAACCTCATTTCTCACCTCCGGATATGTCACAGCCCTGAGCCAGGTGGCCCAGCCCCAGGGGGAATGCCACCTGTGGTACCTAACCCTTAGCTTTGCTGTCTACATCCTACCCAGGCTGGCTGGCAGGGAGTATGCCAGGGGCACACACCTGTACCCCTGGTACAGCGCCTTGGTCTCTCCAAAGAGAGGTCTCTACCTTTAAGGGGAGTCCAGCAGTGTGGACTCTAACTTTATTGGTGGGGGCAGGTCTCCTGCATGGGAAGGGAGGGCGCCTAGCCCCTTTTTTCAAAGGCCATTTAAGCAGAAATGAACGTGGTCACTTTACTGAAGTTAATAATAATGGTTCGATGCTGCAGAAAATGTGGAAGCGATCACCCTGCTTATTTATTCGGGCTTTAAAACCATAAAACTCCAGATTTCTCCCTGTAGCTATTTATAACCTGAGCTGGTGTAAACTGTCCCCATAATAAGCTCAGGTTTGAAGTAACTTAAAAGAAAAATAGCCATCACTGCATTAAAAAAGATCATTTATAGACCTTCTCTCGCCTGCTAATTATGGACGAACAGCGTATGGTTTGGGGTGGGGGCGGGGCAGATACGGACCTCCAGAGAGGTCACACACTCCCCCGCCCGCCGCCCCCCCCCCCCATCTAGCTATAAAGTCACCCTTAGGCAGGCCGGTGGGCAGTCTCCAGACCAGGGGTGTTTCAGGATGAGTCGTGCTCTCCCTCTCGCCATGCCCGGGGTGGAGTGGGGGAGACACGACAGGCAGCAGATCCGGAAAACTGGCTCCTGCCTTGGAGGAAGTTGACCCTCCTCCCCTACCAAGGCCTGGGATGAAAATAGCTTCTTCCTCTTTACCCATCCGGGCCCCCAGCCCATTTCTCTAAGTCCTTCTCCCCATTTCTGCACGTGTTCCCTTCCCCCCGGGACAATTCGGCCCCTTCGCCGATCTCTAAACGGCCATCAGGATGACAGGGACCCTCCGGTCCGACCTCGGGAGACACGACGCGCCCCGCAACTCAGGCAATTACAGTGACTTCCAACCTCCCCCCACCCAATTAGCAGAAAGCTTCACCATGCCGCCAGCTCCCACACTGCTTCCATTTCCTTCAGGGGAGACTGTCACCTGGGAACCCTATCCTCTGTACCAGGGTTCTCCCGGCCCCGCTACACCCCCAAATCCCTTGGGGAAAGTGGGGGCGCAATTAGTTTCTTTCAATTAGTTTCTCCTCTTTGTATAGAACCATTCAAACTGTGGCATGTAATCCTCCGCGCGAGGGGGAAAGTAGTCCCGACCTTCCATTCGATTTCTGTTCTCGTGTCGAGCCTATTTTACTTTTTGAAGCCGATGGGACCCTCGGTGGGGCCCTTCGAGGAATGGGGAGGGGGCGAAGCTGCGGAGGTTGCGCACAGGTGAGGGTGTGGGAGCCTTGGCAGAGGGAGGGGGCGGGGAGGGCAGCTAACTCCTCGCTATTGCCTAGAGAGATGGATCATGGGGCGTAAAGAGATTGCAAAGCTCAAACCCTGTACAGCGGGCGATACGCGTCAACCGAACCTGACCAACGGAAGCCCGAGCCCCCTCTCCTCTCTCCCGCCCCGTCCCTCGGATAGACAGGCGCATCGAGCCAACCGGGCTGCCGCTCGCCGTCAAAATCCCACAAGAGCCAATGGGGCCACGCGGGGGCGGGGCCACTGCACGTTCGGCTGCGCGCGGCTTCCCAGGCCCCTCCCCTCCCTCCCGCCCGCTGTTCCCGGAGTAGTTGGTGCCAGTGAAGTGCGGCCGGCGATGAGAGCGAAAGTTGCGCTCGGCTCGGCGCTGGGGGCTTAACGCGGCCCCGCGCTCCGCCCGCCAGGGCCGCCCCCAGCTCCAGCTCGCGCCCGCCGCGCGCGCCAGGCCCCCGCGCCAACCCGCAAACCCCTCCCCCTGTCCCGGCGCCCCCTCCTCAGGAGCCGGGGGTCCCCGTCACTTTTGCACGGCCCCGGCCCCCGCCGATGCCGGCCATGGTGGAGAAGGGCCCCGAGGTGTCAGGGAAGCGCAGAGGAAGGAACAACGCGGCCAGCGCGGCCGCCTCGGCCGCCGCGTCGGCCGCCGCCGCCGCCTCGGCCGCCTCCGCCTCCGCCTCGGCCGCCTCAGCCGCCTCGGCCGCCGCCTCCTCCGCCGCCGCCTCCGCCGCCTCGGCCGCCGCCGCCGCCGCCCCCAGCAATGGGCAGAATAAAAGTTTGGCGGCGGCGGCGCCCAATGGCAACAGCAGCAGCAACTCCTGGGAGGAAGGCAGCTCGGGCTCGTCCAGCGACGAGGAGCACGGTAGGTGGCAGCCGCCCCGCGCCGCCCGCGCCGCGCCCGCGGTCGGCCCGCGCTCGCTGACCGCCGTGCTCTGCTTCCCCGCAGGTGGCGGCGGCATGCGGGTGGGACCCCAGTACCAGGCGGCGGTGCCCGACTTCGACCCCGGTGAGTAGTGCCCGGCCGGCCGCCCGGCTGGGGCCCGAAGGGGCGGGAGCCCTTGGACAACTTTCTTTTTGTGTGTTCGCCCTGCCGTCCGCGGGGGGAACAGCAGGCGCGACCGGGAGGGAAGCACAGCCGGCGTGGGGTGCCGGCCGCCCCCCGCGCCCCCGGGACCCGAGGCGGCCCCGGCAGTGCGGGGTCCGGACGAGCTGCGCCCCGGCCGCGGGGAGGGTGGCCGCGCCGGAGAGTTAGCATCCCGCGAGCCCGCACCCGGGGCGGCCTCGGACCCCGCGCGCCACGAGCGAGTGCTGCCCGGGGCCTCTCCTCGGGCCCCGGGGCTCCGAGCGCCCCCACTCCCGCCGCTGCCCGAGGGCGAGAGGTGCCCCGACCTCCCAGACCCTGCCCTGGGGGAGCCGCCTGCCGCAGCCCTCGGACCGGGCTGCGGATGCGTGTGCAGCCCCCTCCCCCTGGCTGTGGAAGGAAGGGGCTGTGGAAGAATGGAACCTGCCGGAGCTCGAGCCTCCCCGGGGACCTCCGCCCCGGGCGCTCCCTGCACCCCAGGCCGGAGCCTTCGCCCCCCTCGCTGCTGCTCTGCGGGGAAGCGGATTTACAGCGGTACCAGAAAAACCCAATCAGACAAAGGAATTCGTCGGGTTCTAATGCAGGAGACTCCAGCCTGCCTCCGTGTGAGGCTGTCTTTAAAGGTTGTCGGCACGGAGAATGTTTCAAAGGACGGGGTTTTATTTTATTTTTTCAGAAGTGAAATTCAAAAGCGAATCGTGCGGAACTGGAGTTAACAGGCCTCCCGGCCGGAGAGCTTTCGAGCCGGAGGTTCTCTCTGTAGGTTACCCTGCTAGTTTCTTTGAGAAACCGATGCACAGATGCTTCTCTTTGGGAGCAAGACTGCACAAAACTGCATGGGTCTGGTCGTCGGGCGAGGCGATTGCTCCCCAGCTGTTACTAAGGGACTGAACTCCCGGTGTTCTTTGGGGTGAAAACACTCGGGGATCCCCCGGGGAGCTCCTGGGCTCCCCGGAGGAAAATGACCTCCCCCGTGTGTGCCCCCTCGGGTTGGGTGCACGGACTCCGGTCTCTTACATGTAGGGAGTCCGACACCCAGGGTGGTATTCCGCTGAAACTCCCGGTGGTGGTTCTGATAGTTTCCCCTCGCCTGGCATCTTCCTTTTTTGGCAGTCACTTCTCATTTCCCCGAGTGACAGGATGGGGCCGGGAGACCCGGCGCTGCTCCTCCGTGCGTGCCTCCTCCATTCCTCGGTTGGCCACCAGGGGAAGCGTGCTGCTTTTTGGTTACAGTTGACCCCATCTTCATTTTGTAGGTCAAGTCCATCTTTGTTTTAATATACAGAACCTAAAGCAGAGCTTGTCACCAAGTTACACAGCCCCCGCCCCGCAGTGTTAAAAATCAGCTTGCACAAATGTTTAGTTTTAGTGAGTTGGTCAGCTTTGGGTATCTTTTGGTTACATGTGTTAGTTTTGCAAGCTTTCTTTAAATGTGTTGGATGTGACTAAGGGAAAGAGGGTATTTGATGGCAGCCATAGGAATTAATTTCCGACATAACCATCTTCTAAGTATTGATGTCTAGTGCTGCATTGTTAGTGAGGAACCAAACTTTCGAGTTGTCTTCTTTTTAAAAATTTAATTATTTATTGATTTTAGACAGAGAAAGAGAGAGAGAAAAAGAGAAACATAAATTTGTTGACTTTTTGTACCACTTCTTTATATCTCATTGGTTGATTCTTATATGTGCCCTGACCAGGGATCAAACCCACAACCTTGGTGCATGGGGATGACCCTGTAACCAACTGAACTACCCAGCCAGGGCCTAGAGTTGTCCTCTTCTTTGAAACAGCAAATGTAATAGGATCATATTTTGAGCTGTCCTTGCATTTATTTGTTATGGGATTGGTGCAAGTGTAAATTTGCCAGAGACCTGCCATTGAAAAAGTAAAACATTGTAAATGTTCTGCTGCATACTTTTACTGCCAGTCGATTGGGTCTTGGTATTAACATTTCCAAACTTCCTGTGTTGTGTTTGTTTGAACCTAGAAGGGCATCTAACTGCTATGAAATAATTTCAGACCCTGTTTTGCCAGTCTCATCAGTGGAACACATTCCTAGGCATTGCTGGGAGTTGTGGGACTTGTCTCCTAATGATTTTTCTTGAGTGTGTTCTCATATACCTTAAAATCTAAGGGAAGAGACAACTTCCATTTTTGGAATAGAAATGGTCACCGTGTTCTTTTCATGGAACAAAACACAGTTTTTAGAAAGTCTTTAGTCTTAAAACAGATTCTTTCCCTGAGTACAAGTTAGGAATACTATGGATTAAGTTGTGCTTGTTACTGCTTTTTCTTTCTCCCTGCCTGAGTTTTTTGTTTTTTATTTTTCTTTCTCCCTGCCTGAGTTTTGAATGCACCTCCCTCCCTTTCCCTCTACCAGACTTTGAATAGGTAGGTGAGTGTGGAACTCATCAGAAAGCGTTTTGGCCCCTGTGGTAAAGATGTGTGAGGGGAGCAGTTGATGGTAATTTTTAAGTCAGATTTTATTTATCCACAGTATCCCAACTTGGCCCTGTTTAGCTTTAAAAGCAAATTTAGGTTGAAACCTGGGCGGCCGGATATGCCCCAGCAGCCCAAGGAAGGTTCCCTTCTGTCTGTGGTCGCTCACAGCCCATCAGTGGACTGCGATGTGACTTGGTAATGAAGACACCATCTATGTTTACAGCGACAGAAGAGGTCCTGTCAGTTAGACTGAAACACACAGACCTGCGTGCAGCTCTGCACCTGTAACCTGGGCTCCGTTCTCGCGTGGTGTCCGCCCCCTTTCCAGTCCCAGTGCCGCAGCATGTGCTGAGTTGTCATTGGTCTCCCCTAGAATTTAGTAGTCACAGAACAGAGATAGGGAGGCACGCTCATCCTGTCCTCCTCTGGTTGGTTATTTTCTGCAGTTGCAAAGGACGACTTGTTTTGGAATGAGTAGTGTTTTCTGCACAAAAATGGGAATGTTCCCAATAGGCATGCAAAGGAAGAAGCTGTTGAGCCCATATATTTGTTTCATCGTTTGTTTAGAAGTCTTTTTCTTTGTTGTCTTCTAGCTGGAGGAGCACAGGGACCGGGTTTGGGAGTTGACTCCGGTTCTTTGTTTTCTGAAGCGTGTGTTACTGTCACGTTCTGTCCTGTCCTGAGTTGGTTTTCAGTATCACAGTTCACTGATAGTAAAATGAAGACTCTTACAGAGAGGAAGTGTTAGTGGTAAATATTTTTGTGGTAAGGGGCCTTTAAACATACAATCCATGTTTGAAACATTGATTCCAATAGGTTTAATCAGATTTGAAAATTGTGGTTGTCATTGGCTCAAATAGCACTTCAGAGTTGACTGGTATTAAAAGTGTGTTACTTTTTTTTTTCCCCCAAAGTGTGTGTGTGTGTGTATTTATTTATTCTCTCAGTTTATTTTTTTAAATGAATCTATTTATTTATTTATTTTTAGAGAGGGAAGGGAGGGAGAGAGAAAGAAAGAGAGAGAGACATCAATGTGTGGTTGCTGGGGGCCGTGGCCTGCAACCCAGGCACGTGCCCTGACTGGGAATCGAACCTGCGATGCTTTGGTTCGCAGCCTGCGCTCAATCCACTGAGCTACGCCAGCCAGGACAAAAGTGTGTTACATTTTAATGTGGGATAATTTTACTGAACAGGGCATCTTGATCTACTTTTCATTTTTTTTTTTTTTTTTTTACTGGTGGTTCTGTGTAACCCTTTGAACACATTGTTTTCTGTGCTTTCATTTCATTGTAAAAATCAGTTTTATAGATATCCTAAAATTCAAGTTTTGGTGAACGGTTTGTGATTCAAACACAACCATGGCGCTGTTGCTGTTAAGTGAGGGGTCGGGGTCAGGAGTGTTGGATCACCTTCACCAGGGCGGGTTGTCAGAGGCTGCGCGCCCTCCTCCGTGACTGAGAAGGGGACGGACGGGAGGGCTGGTCATTCTGCCTCCAGGAGCCTCCGGTTCCTCAGTCTGAATCAGGGTCCTGTCATGCCTTGCTGTGTGTGGTGCTGGTTGTAGTCGCCCTACCTGATTTCAGAGGCGGCGTGGACTGGCCTCCCTGAGCTGGGCTGTGAGAACCGGGAGACCTGAGGTCGAATCCTGCCAGGGCCTCTTGCTGACTGTTCGTTGACCCCGGGCAAGCGCCTTCATTTTTGCTTTTTCTGTGAAACAGATCGTGGGACTTCCTCAGGAGAAGGGACTGACACAGCTGATAGCCCTAAATTGCCTAGCTCAGTACGCGGCATGCCGCGAGTGCTCCGCAGACCTTTCCTGCTGCCCTAGTCGTGCCCGCGGCTGCGCTTGCCAAGGAGTGGTCCCCGCACTGCCCGCTTGACTCCTAGGCGAGACGGGATTATAGCGAAGCCGCTGGTGTGGGTGCAGATCGTACACCGAGATATTTGAAGGTGACTGCTTTTAAGTTACAGGTACCTGCTGCAATTCTGGTAAATTCCCGGAAGAGAGAACTAGTTCAGAAACATTTATGTAGTAGAAAGGAACACAGAGTTTCCAAAGGGAAGAGGTGAACCTGTTTGGATCAAGGTTCCGGATGTACAAAAGAAAACTTGACTCCATCCGTGGGCCAGGCACACTAAGCAGGGTCTGAGCTAGGGAGTTTTTTTGCTCTAAACGTGTCTTTGAGAGTTAGTACTTTTGAGGCATGCCGTGTCACAACGGTCCCCTTCCACGGGTGATGTTGGGATTACAAGGTTAGTGGGCTGAGGCTGACCGTAGCAGAGTTGTTTCAAAGGCATTGTTAAAGGTCATTTGTGCTGAAGAAATTTAGGCTTACTCTTATTCATTTTCCTTGGCGTTACAAAGTTCTGTGGGGCAGTTCAGTTTAAGGAGGTCTTTGGAGATGAAACATCAAAGTTCTATCCAGGCTACTGTATTCTTCTCCAGTTTATCAAACTTTTTGTATTTTTCCCATGCTACAGAA